CACTGGTGTCATAGTGCACCCAGACCCTACTTTGCCGGATAGGCTGAAATTGCGGGAAGCTGTGAAGGATCTTAAGGACCGCGGTGAAGCAGAAGAAAAGGGTCTCCGCTTGGTGGGTTTTCGGGTGGTGAGCCGGCAGTCCACTTCCACCCTACCAGAGCCGGTTCTGGTGGCGCACGATCCCGGACTCACAATGTTAAATCCCTTCAGGTGATCTTAACCAATGTGCGTAGCCAGCGAAAGAACCTGTGTGAAGTCATCGACCTTGTTGAAGACTGCCGTCCAGATGTTCTCGCATTCACTAAAACGTGGCTGTCCACCGACGTCACGGACAGTGAAGTGTGCTTGCCAGGCTACGCACCGCTGAGATGTGACCGCACCTCTGATCGGCGCGGACGTGGCGTTGCTTTGTACGTTAACTCCACACTTACTGTCTTTAAGACGTATAGTTTCAGATCACCAGAGGGTGATGTTGAGGCACTCGCAGTTAATCTGTGTATTGTCTCCGTGCTGGTCTATAGAAGCCCCGAGAGCGTTGCTAAGGGGCTTGCTGATTACATCCGCGAGCATTCGGCAAATAGGTGTTTAGTGATGGGGGACTTCAATCTTCCCGACGTTGACTGGCAGAAGTTTTCCTGCGACGCTGTTACACGGTGTTTGGCTACCGAGCTAGGGCCTTGCATGCTTCCCTGCACCAGTTTGTCGATCGGCCTACTAGATTAATGGGTCAAAACCCGTCCCTCTTGGACTTGATCTTAGCTAAATCCATTGATTTTGTCGCGGCTATTGTATACAACCCACCTCTCGGTGCAAGCGACCACGTATGTCTTTCATTTAAGTGCGCACTTAGTCGTCAGACTAATGATCATCCCGACCGAGTATCAAATATATGGCGCGCGGACTTTCAGACAATGAAAGCCAAGGCCGCAAAGTCGCCTTGTGTCATTTTCGAAAGTGACGACATTCAAACAGCATGGAAAAGATTTAAATCATACTTGAGTAAGTTCTCCCCCCCATATACCACTATCTGGCAGGAATAAAACTAGGGCAAAGCCACCCTGGCTTGATTCTGCTGTACGCAAGCAACTCAACACACGTGCCAGATGTTGGCGTACTTACTTATCTGCTCCTTCATTATGCACCTTCAAGCGATATCGTGAGGTTCGAAATGCCTGCAGGCAGTATCTACGAGGTGCTCGTCTACAGCATGAAGTAGAGCTTGCTCGTATAGCCTCATCAAACCCGAAACGCCTCTTCGCTTATGTCAAAAGGCGAAGCAACATGAATTCGTGCATCCCGGTTTTGTTTGGCCCTGTCGGCACTGCTGTTGTCACGGATCACGAAAAAGCTTGTATGCTCGGAGAACAGTATGCTGGGGTTTATGTTAGAGAGTCACAGCCGCCGCATATCATTCTCCAGGCAAAAGTTCCTGAGGGCTCCCACTTGGAGGAGGTTTCTATAACTGAGGCTCAAGTGCTCCGGCTTTTGAGGCAGTTAAATCCCAGTAAAGCTGCCGGTGGAGATGCTATTCATCCCAAACTGTTGTACGAGTTGGCTGATGAACTTTGCTCTCCGATTACGCATCTTTTTGTGAAGTCTCTACGAGGCAGCTCTCTACCCAAGGACTGAAAAGAGGCTAGTTTGCCCCATTTTTAAGAAAGGTGATAAGCACCTCCCTGATAACTATAGACCGGTCAGTTTAACGAGCGTGCTGGTCAAGTTATTGGAAAAGCTCGTGAGGGACGCTCTCGAAGGACATTTGAAAGCCTTTGACTTGCTTAATCCTTCTCAGCACGGTTTTCGTAAGGGCTATTCTTGCCTTACTAACTTGTTAACCGCTCGTGAACACTGGGCCGAAGCCGTTGATTGCGGGAAGGCAGTAGACGTGCTGTTTATTGACTTTTCCAAAGCTTTTGACACCGTTCCACATTCGCGCCTTATGTACAAGCTGAATTCCTATGGTATTTCTGGACCAGTCTTACGATGGATTTCAGCTTTCCTAATCGGAAGGGAAATGTGTGTGCGGGTGGGTTCAAGCCTGTCCTTCCGCCAATGTGTTCTCAGTGGCGTTCCGCAAGGTTCGGTTCTTGGCCCCCTTCTCTTCACTTTATACGTTAATGACCTACCTGATGAATTGGGTGTGCCATCCCTAATGCTTGCGGATGACTTGAAACTCTGGTTCACGATAGACGATCTGATTGGTCCACTGACCCTACAGGGGGCTCTGGATAGACTTTGGGACTGGTCAATTTTGTGGCAGTTGCCCGTTAATTTAGCGAAATGTTCCGTTTTACGCGTTGGTCCGAATGACCCGCCGAGGCGTTATTTGCTTGGCGGCAACGAGGTACCGCAAATTCAACTCCAATCTGACCTCGGTGTTTTGCTGTCATCCGACTTTAAGTCCAATGTACACTGGACGACAGCTGCTCGCAAAGGTTTCAACATGTTGTGGATGATCCGCAGGTCATTCGGGATCATGACCATCGACATGTTCGTTAGACTATTTTCGGCTTTTTTAAGGCCGCACTTGGAATAATGCGTTCAGGCTTGTCCTCCATGTCTGGTTCGTGATAAGATGGCAGTTGAAAGAGTCCTGCGGTCCGGGACGAAAATGGTGCACGGATTGAAGAACCTGACGTACCCGGAGAGGCTACGTAAGTTGGATATGTTTTACATGTATTACAGGCGGCTTCAGGGCGACTTGGTCCTCACATATCGTATATTGATGGGTCAGATTGGTCCTGATTTGACTGGACTGTTTCGCCCAACTCGAGTGCCAACTCTTCGTGATCACGCATTAAAGTTGCACAAACCCCGGTCTGACCGGGTTTGGGCAGCTTTTCGGTTATCGCGTAAGGTCATAGTTTATTGGCACGCATTGTCTGCAGACGTCGTGATGGCATCGATGGTGAAAGAGTTCGAGCATCGACTTGACGCTCTCGGTCTGCAGTTTAAAGTCTTCCCCTTCATGTCTTTTCTTCGTCTACTACGGCCTACGCTTCTTTAACTCATTTTAACTTACATCGTAATATTGCCTACGATATTCGACAAGCTTGTCTTCTCCTCTGTTTCCTTTTCTTTACTGACACTACTGTTTTCTTTTATTCTTCACGTGGCCGGCACAGCGGGGACTGCTAGTGCAGGGCACGTGGGCATTGTTTGGTTGACCATGTGAATCATGTGTGTTGATTTGGCTCTCCTTTGGCACATCATGACACCGGTTTCCCTGTTGGATCAACGATGTTTTCCAAGGTGGAACATTCGCGGGATTTTCCTACTGTTCCGGTCCCACTTGAACTTGAACAAGTCTGGTATGAATGGTCATCAAGGCAATCGGAAATTGTCACACAGTGTCGAGCAGTTGCTCAAGTAGGCACATGAACCAATTTACTATGTCGAAGCTCAGCCCAGTCACATTGGTAAATATTCTTAGGGAAACTGCGTGGTGCGGTGTGCAGGAAGTATGACAGCTTCAAGAACTTGACTGCCACGACAGTATGGACGGACTGTGAAATAATAGGAATATGGTAGCCCATTTGGTGAGAATCGATTGCCGCGACAGAAGTGAAAGGACCGCATATGTAAGGGTGTGTTATTGAGGATTAGAAGGATTATATGATGATATTTTACTAGTTCATCCCAGCTGCTCAAAAGCCAGATTAATCCTATGCCAATCCGGAAAAGTAATAGACGAACGGTTCGCTCTAATGGGACCACTCAGTGGTGCGCATTCCCTGTCTCTGCTGGGGATCGAACCTGTGGCCGCTAGCACCTCACGCCAACTAGCCTCTAGCTTATGCCACTGAGCCATGCGCACCATGCGGAACGGTCGTTTGGTGCTTTCCCGGATTGGAGTTAGACTAAGCTGGTTTGAGAGCAGCTGAGATGAACCAGTACCATATCAACAAGAATTTATCTCCGTGGAATATCGAACCCCATATTGCTGGAGAGTAGGCGCAAAAACGCCACAGTCGATTCTCCGAACGGGCTTCGCGTGGACTGACAGACAGCCTAAAGGATTCAGAACTAGTCAAATAAAAGTCGGTGCGGTGGAGTAGAACAGCCAATGATTAGGCTCGCGCAGCAACACGTGGAAACCGTGTGCGCGTGACGGTAAAGAACCAAACAGATTCCGAGTGGGGTTGTCGGAACCGGTTGGAAGAATTTGATATTGCTGAGTGCCGGCTGGACATGCACTTTGTAAGACAAAATAGACCGAGACGCTTCCGCAACTCTGAGCTCGAACATGTAACGGAAGATCAGTGAGTGAAATTCATCAAAGAGTTAACCAAGCCAATGTCAGACATCGGGACTAGTATTGAATGGTAGTGTGGGGATTTTGAGGTGAGTTAATAGCTGGTAATTGGAGGGAAACCGAACCATGATTGTTAATGCTCAGAACGCCAGCCAAGCTGGTTATTAGAGTGAACACAACAGCGTGGTCCACGAACCGCTGCCACACAAGCGATACGCAGGAAGGAACATACTGTGGGGAGGGCATCTGTCCTCACAAAATCGTTCGTACTGCGTGCACATAACTCATGTGCACTGTTGCTATGACACAACTCACAAGCTCTTGTGGAGTTTCGTTCACGTAGACTCAGCGCACCAGCAGCTGTTATGCGATAATTCACACACGCTAATTAACCCATACATACATATTCGTGTGAGATAAGCGCCTCAATCTACTGGATGAATAGTGATAAGAACACAAAGGTGAAGAACCTACGTGTAACCTCGGCTGAACCCGTGGAAATATTTTCGTTAAGAGCAAGCTTTCTTTGGTTTGCAGTTCGTCCGTGGCATTTACCTAGTGTAACGTGAAGCGAATAGGGTGGGTGATAGTTATCTTTATCAACTAATCAGTTGTCAGGAATCGGCGTTACTTGATCCGTTGCTACAGGAGCAGTGTAACAAATCAACCAAAACAAGCGACCGCTAAGGCCCATAAGTGAGAAATTAGTTTAAATGTTGCGCGGGAATTCAAACGAAACTCAGTGTAAAATACTCTAGAAGTGACGATTGCATTTTGATAAAACGAACAGGTCATGTACAATCTTCGCAATCCGTTTAAAAACAAGCGTGTCGCCGTCCACAAAAGTAGCGACCATGTAATAGATTAGAAGTGGACGAAGACAGGGTGGATAGACTGAGGAAGGGCTGAATCACAGCCAAAGGGAGTCCGATACAACAGGAGCGTGTTGTTTCTCCACATATCAATAAGGCGCATTTCCGTAGGAATTGCTGACGGTAGTGATTTAAAAATGCGTTTTAGCAATGCGAAAAGCGACGAAACCAAAGCCAGCCAGAATAGTCGCAGCCAAAGTCCACTTCCACGCGTGATCTGTCGGAGCAAGTTGTAATCCGCGCAGGTGTCTGGGATACAAAAAGAAACGAGTTCACTGATAAAAGGGACGTGTATCACATACGATGCAAAGTGACACAGATGCCTAGTCAGATCCGAATGGAAATATGCGAGAACTGGAGCAATGGGTGATGAAATGACATAATCATTCCGCTATAGCTCAGGAGGAGAAAGATTAGAAAGCTGTATATTATTTGGGTGAAAGATAAAAGGTACATCGCAGTTAACACCGTTAGAGTTGGACAAGGATTCAAGATCCACTCTGTCCAACGCGTAGGTTGTGTACAACACAGCATCTAACGGCAGCCGAAAAAAGAGAAGCTTGGAGTATGACACAAACACCACATAGTAAGAGTCTCGCGAATTAAAAAAAAGAATTAAAAAAGATCGCTTCAACAGATAGGGTTACAAAAGATGAGACCTCATTCAACAGTCGAGGTCGGCTCGGCGACTTGAACGATACCTCGCCTTGGACGTATAACGTCGCCTGTTCATACCGAGCAGGGAGGGATGGAAAATCACTAACGTAACAAAAGGAATCGAGAAAGCCCAAAGGCAAAAGCCACTACCTATCGAGTTCATTGATAACATCGGTCTAGTCTCAACTTACAAAACCAGCCATTCCATCAATATACGTCTCAATGGTCCTATGAAAGATCAATGACCGCGTGGACCACAAGCAAATGTCGTCGAAATGACAACGAAGGGAAAAGAACCGAATATGTAGCGATTGTACCTAGGCAATTGAATAGGATCCGGATAGGAAGCTAGGTGTCGACGCTGTGAGCGAAAGGAGGTACGGAGTGGACGAAACAGCGAAAGCATAGTTATGGATGTGAAAATTGTTGTGTAATGGAGGGGGAGAGTGGATTTGTAAGTGAGTTCAGACGAAGTTGGAAGTAACTGCTGTCATAACGTGTAACTGATAATGTCTAAAATCGGTCTTAAACATCTAACAATCCGCGTAAAGTGATCCAATCACATGCTGTAGATGCTGCCCAGATGATTCGATACAGTATATGCTCGATTAATATGAGGTAGAGTATTTTAGCAGAAAGCCGACGGAAAGCGCTTCTGCGGAGACCATGGGCGAAAGAATGCAACTCACGGGTAGTTGGCTAGTGTGCACAGAGTAATGTAGACAGGAGCAAACTTGTTTTCCTCCGCACGCTGGCTACTAGGCGCTCGTTGTATCATATCCGGTCGAGAATGGCGCCTTTGTCGCATCGGTGTCAGTGGGTCGGAGCCAGATGGATCCGCATCTCGTTCAACTGCTCCGAAGCCAATAGGAAGAGGTGAACGATGATCCCTCGGAATAGAAACAGCAGCTCGACTGTACCCTCCGGGTGTGGTATATGACGGTTCAGCCGATCCAGAACGGCGGTTGGATCTGGCGTGATTGCGAGGAGAATCCGAGTAAGAATTAACAGAATCGACCGGAGTAGGTCTATGCGGGACAGATCCACACATGATCAGTTGTTGCTCTAGATGTATGCTGGAGAAGGATTCCGGTGGACTCAAATTATATTTCAGTGTCAATTCACCTGGATCCACTTGGTAATTCTGGACAACATGAGGTTGATCCGATTTGGCTCCAACAAAAAGGCAGGGAACACGAGTGCCACGATAGTAATTCTGAGGCCAGTGGAACGATTAGTAGAGGAGACGAAGAATGGTGGTTTAGGCAAACGACAAAGACGAGATTGAGCGTGTGAGAAGGGCAGAGTGATAGAGAGAGGTGTCTATGCTAAAGAAGTACAGTGGGGCAGGTTGCAATGGAAGCCACGTGATAAACAACAGCAAAAATTGAACAAGAAGCGATGTGATTATTAAAACGTATCGGATAACCGAATGGATAGAGATAAGAACGAAAAACCGAGGTATTCAACAAGAAGAAAGTGTGTTACATTGCGGCTTCGACCCCAGAGCATCAGCAAGATACGACAAAATTCCTCGCGTTTAGAACATTAAATTTGTGGCCATATTAAGCACCGTTAGTGTGTCCGCATAACGTAAAAGTACACTCGCCTGATAAATGACATAGGGGTGACGAGATGCCACAAACAGTTAAGCCTAGTATAGCCACGGCGGACAGCATACGCTACTCGATGGTTGGACCGAGCCATCAGACATTAATTCCTGAGGGATTGTGAAACATATGCGGCAAAGTGTTTACTTTTCAAGGAAAAAAGCGACTTCCTAAAAATTAATACAAGATAAATGATTATAGATGGATTAAATGAGAGCCAGTGCAGTGTTTGTCAAGTAGTTGTCCTCCATGAGTAGAGCAATCAGATAATCAGTGATAATACGCATCATCACATTAAGCTCACTAGGTTCGTTGCATCTGACAGAGGCCAGGAACTTGGCGGTATCGATGTTCCTGTCACCGTTATTTCAAACGACACAACCAACAACAGTAGATGCACAAGTACTATTCAACCACAAACAGTCAGGTTCAGCTGCGTGAACAGAAAGGAGTACGCCACAATAATGATGAAACACAAGATAAAAGATGTCCACTGAACACGAACCCATTACTAAACGGAATCCGACGAAACGGATAGCCAGAATAATTGTTTAGATGTCGGCGAACCATGCACTTGCAATTATCCCAAAGGATTACAAGCAGCGAAAGAGAAAAATAAGACAGATTGTATGGACAACAACGGTAAAAGTAAGCTTGTGAAAGAGATGACTGTAGGCCCAGCCATATCACGTCAAGAGTTTCGAAAAAGCACGAGGCGACCCATTAGGCCGCAGATAAACAGTTTGATAAATGCGGCGGTCTGCATAGACTAATGGATAAAGGGAACCATGGTTTAGGGGAGAAAATGCTTAACGTTGCGCTCTCTGGCTTTTCCGATTTTCGATGGTGTCTTTGGGCGACCAGTGGAGCACCAAGCAGCATTCGCGGGCACCGGCACAAGCTCGTAGTACCGGACCTGAAGCGGATAGATTACTCCCTCTGCATTAAGTACCGAAGTAGTGGGACGGTTTGCCTGAGACAACAGTCAGTGCGAAATCGGTGTGGAAATCCAAGAAATCCCTAGACGTCCAACTTACGGATCACATATTTCGAGGACGCATCGTATCTGAATAGGATGTTGCACAGCTATTAAGTTGTGTTGATAGTGCGCGGTACTAAATGACGTTATCCCACAAGCGTACCCGATACTATTCGACAGAGCAACACAAAGGTATGTAGTCCGTATTGTGGGTGACGGCAACCGCAGCATCTTCGGAGTTTGACTATCTGCAATTATATGCACACATTACGTGTTGGAGGTCAAACAACAAAAGCCCCTTTATCAAACAACGATGCCAGATCTCTTTGACGATGTCCATCATTCATATTCTAGGAGAGAAAGGCCAATATAATGCAGTCGCACGCATAAGGGATACCGAAGTGTTGCCGTGTACTGCGCATCCGATACTAGGATCAGTGACCTCTACGCGGTTGTCAAAAAACTGCGCCCAATCTGCCCTGTAGCAAGTGACCCCAAGTATCCGGTGACACTGATGCAGTGACAGCACATCAAAACAGTGTGGAAGTTCCCTTCAACCCCAGGGCTGAGTCATCGGAAGTTGACTGGATACCTTTGGACAGACATACGTGTGCAGACAAGTAGAAAACGTCAAACAGGATCAAGTCAAAGGTCAGCGTTAGACGATGTGCACTTGAGGTTGCCACTTATGTTCAAATCAATTGCAATCAAGATGTCGACAAATCCCTACCTATAAAGTAGCGCGGTACTTCGTAACTTTGTCAGTCACATGTAGTTCCAGTTGCTGGGAGTGTGATTATGCTTACCGATTGTCTTAGCTCTTCTGAAGTTAATTACGATAAAAAGTTCGGGTTTAACTCCGTATGCACGGAAAACAGATAACGTTTTCTGCAACGGTGTACTTATCGCCGGTGGCGTCCTAGTAGCACGATTTTCAGACACAATGGGCACTGATGTGGCAATCGAAGTTCTCCGACAGATAGCTTACGATATCCTCAAATCGATAGCATCACATGGAGCTTTAAGTGACTTGGTTCGATTTTGGACTGTAGTCGATTCCGGATTACGTGCGTCGTCGCGCACCCGGGATCTGTCGGTTTCCCATTGCTCGGAGACGTATCAAACGATCCCCGCAATTGGTAACTGAGAAGCTGTCCCAGGATAAACAACGCACCGAATCTTCACCCAATTGCTATGCAACAGCATTGCTGCTACTGAGCACGACGCGACGATCCATGCTTAGGCAGTTATTAGTCAGAATGGCATCAGACAGTAGATACCAGAAATGTCAATGAACCTGTACGAATCCAAGAGAATCCCAACCAGTGCCAAGCACAATGCTACTGACAGGGAGCTAAGAAGGAAACTGCGACCAGACAATAAAAGCATGTGGGTATGAAAATACGGGTGGAAGAGGTGAGAGCAAGGAGAATACCTGGAATTCTTCCAGCTGAACAACAACACCGGTCTCGGGAACTCATGAGAAAAGTTCGACCCAGTCCAAATGAAAACGGTATAATAACTTATCGCCAGTATCTCGTCGGAGATTCACGAACGAACGCGCAAATTAAAAAAAAACATTGTTGCTTTCAACACTCATGAGAAATATAAAGGGAATAAAGTTGGAACTAGATTACTGAGCGCTTGCAACATGCTGAGGTCAAATACAAATGTATACAACTGAAAAAGAAAACACCGAAGCGCTGTCGTTTGATTATTTTCAGATTTTCCAGTGAAGAATCCGCACAGTTTCAGGCAGTATCGACTCGCTATAGCCTAGTATACTCAGTTCAAAAACATACTGATTAAACTCGAATGGACAACTTTGGAAACATATCGTTTTGAGTCTGCAACACGGATGTCAAAAGCCGAGAAAACATGCAATCCGACACCCCAGCTAGTAACATGGAAATCCGGCACAATCGATGAAGCAATGGGCTATGCCGAAGTCGACTTTGAGAGCGCATATCCCGGTGTGGCAACATCAAGTGCTTTTGCTTCCGGTTCCAGCACAATGTCCCAATAAAGGCCGAGAAATAAAAGCAAGGTAAAAGAACCAGATACTGAAAATCCATCGTTCCGTAGATGCGTCTCTTCATGTTAGGCGTAAGAGCTAGCCTTAAATGGCAAATAATCCATGCAACACTACATAGCTGACTCAGTCGCATACGAGGCGTGTTCAAAAAGAAACCGAACTTTTGCCATAACATCTGTACTGCTAATTGCACAATATTTTACGTACTTTCGCTCACAAAGAAGTCCCCTCTACTGGCAATAGACCCTTCCCATCGATGCTTCCATCGTTGGAAATCCTCCTGGAACGCACTTTATAGGATCACGCGTAGATCTCTTGTCGCATTGTCTTGAATCTCCTCTAGGGTTTAAAAACGATATCCTTTCAACGTGGTCTTAAGTTTGGGAAACACGAAAAGGTCTGCAGAGGTTAGGTCCGGAGAATACGGTGGATGGGGCACAACGGGAGTGTGATGTTTTGCTAGATAGCTGCGGACAAGGAGCGATGCGTGAGCCGGCGCATTGTCATGATGCAACATCCAAGTCTGGTTTGCCCATAGTACAAGCCTATTCCTGCCTACGTGAAAGAATTTGATGACATGATCCTACGCTGATGTCCACCTCGTCAGCAACTTCGCGAACACTTAAACGACGATTTCCACGAATCACAGCCCTAACTCTCTTGACATGGTCATCATCTGTTGATGTGGAAGGTCGTCCAGCCGTGGGATCGTCACCGAAGGACATTCTGCTGTGTTCCCAACATTTAAACAGTGCATAGCAGTACGTGCGACTGTTATAGTCCTCTCGGGACGCTTGGATAAGCAACTGAAATGCCTCTGTAAAATTTTTGCCGTTTGTAACAAAATTTCACACGCTCGTTTTTCTTCAAGCTCTTTCTTTGCCGCTTTGGCAACGATTCGACGAACAGCTTGTGCAGGCGCTCATGTCAGGGGCTGTAGCTCGACAACTAATAGTCAGAGCGAAATGAGCCAAATGACAGTTTGTTGTCTAAACAGCAGCCGGTTGGAGCGCTAGTTCAAAAGTTCGGTTTCTTTTTGAACACTCCTCGTACTTCGCTGACTCGCCATGGATTCAGATTCCGTGGATGCACGCTACTGACAAATCCCCATGGGACGAAACGGTCGTCTGGTGCTTCCTTGGAAGTGTGGCGGCTGTCTGGCTGAGTGAAGATGCAAAGCACCTCAAAAATATTCAGGCATGTTCGACTCATAAATACACACTTCTTCAGAAACAAAATAATTACCCAACGAATACATCTCACTCTCAATCCCACTAGTTGTACAGGTTATTAAAACACGGCCAATAGAGGACCCTTCGGAGTCGCTCTACCACCTCTCTGGTAACAGAAGTTCTAACCGCTGTCTGGACCAGATGGTGGCTGTATCATCTATGTCCACAATGCAATTCAAGTTTCAGATTCCGTCTATTTAAATGATTTCCTGCATAATCTCATTATTATCGGATGTAGCGCCTATTCCTAATTTTGTAGAGATACGCGCACTACAAAGCGTGTTACGACTTTCTGCATACGAACCTGTGAACTGTAAGATAATAAGGGGAGAATTCAACATGTCTGATCTGTCACTGTCT